TGCCCTGCCTGGTAGTCGCATCTTTTCAATTCACCCCTCCTGGCTTCTCGTTCCTGCCTGCAGTGACTGCGTGGGGCTGCGTGATGGAGTGGAGCTGAGCAGCGACCCAAATGATTAAACCCTGCCAAACTGATCCCCTGTGAGGCTGGTGGGAACAGCCCTGGGGGTCGTGCGCTGTGACGGCTGGATGGGGTGCTGACTGTATAAACTGCCTCTGGGAAAAACGGCTGTGAAACCCAATTTTCTGCCCTGCTGCCAGCCTCAGGCTCTGCTCCTGTTTCATCTCATGGCAGGGCATGTCTCTGTGCCGCAGCCAGCCCTATTTGGGATTTAAACAAATGTGGTGAGGGGTATCTGAGTCATGGACAGGCATCCCATCCCCTGCCCTTGCTGCAGGGTTTTGCTCTGGCAAAGGGTGGGACAGGCGGCTGTGGCCCTAATGCCTTCAGCCGTGGCAGTGATTCAAGGCAGAGCCCTGTGCCTGCAAGCACAAGAAAACAGAAAGGAAAAAAAAAACAGCCAACCAAACCCCAAAACAAAAAACAAGCAAACAATGCTGCACTCTGCCTTTTTAATTTTTTTTTTTTTAAAGCCATATAATTCCAAGTGTGGTGTATTGCTGAGATGCACATTCCCCAGCCGTGGCAAGCGGGGCAGAGGTTGAGACACATCTTCCCTGGGGAGAGGGAGGGTTGCGTGAGCCCGAGTCCGCAGCAAAGGTCATTTGGCTGAAAGGCCCTGCTTGCAGAAGGAGATGATTTCGTAAGGGTAGCTGATGCAGTGTTTGTGTTCAGCGCTGACGCCGTGGTAGGTTAGCGTGTGTGCACGTCAGAGGGAGAAACACCAATTTTGGCGAACGGGGGAATGACAGGGCAGTGATTGTCAACCTCACCTGCCCACTCCACGTCCCAAATTACTTCTTTCCTCCTTGCTGCTCAGTCTGCTTTCTCCCCTCCTCTGCCCCCACTTTTTGTCTCTTCAGTCCTGGCATTTGATCTCATCATTGTGTTGTTTGTTTTATGGCCTTGGCTTGTCTTTCCATTCCCGTTTGGGGTCATAGTATCATAGAATGGTTTGGGTTGGAGGGGACCTTAAAGATCATCTAGTTCCAACCCCCCTGCCATGGGCAGGGACACCTTCCACTAGACCAGGTTGCTCAAAGCCTCATCCAGCCTGGCCTTGAAGACAGCCAAAGACAGGGTCATTATCATGTATAATTAGTCTTGGAGCCTAATGAAGGGGACCAAACCTAACTCTGGGGTCTGTCTGAACCATTTAGTGTTTCTGAGCGCAAAGATCTGCAGCGGAAGTTTATTTTTAAGTTTCCTGAGAAGATAAATTTGAATGTTGGATTGTTTAGGATGCAAGTAATAGAACTGAAATCCCTCCGTGGGGGGAGCAATGCCCTTGGGATTTGAAACATCCCAAGGATAATTATCCAGTGCTGAGTAAGTCTTGTTAGTCTTGAAATAGCTTTTAGTGGATGATCACGTTTTTCTTCATGTTGACTAGTGTGAAAAGCTTGAAACCATGTATTAACACTTAGCCTTTGTCATAAGAGCATTGTCAACATGTTCTTAATACTGTTGTTATGCAGGCTCTCTCTGGGAAAACCAGGCATGGAGATACAGAACGATTACACAAAAGAACAGCTACAGAAAATAAAAAAGGGCTTTTTTTGAGGCTGTTCTTTAAGGTCTCACTCTCTCACTGTGTTAAGATATAGGAGGGAGCTTCAAGGCCTTGTGTGTCGGAGCAGGGTGAGGTTAGAGCATCCTCAGGACAGCCTCAGCTGCTGCTGTTTGGTGACACTTTGCGGGGGGCTGTAGCTCCAGCTCAGTAAAGCATCAGCAGGGCAAGTGCCACTCTGTCACTGGCCCAGGCGAAGTGACATATCTGCGTAGTGACTCAGCCGTGTCCCTGTGCTAACCATCTGCTGATGTGATGCAGATCATTAGTCACTAATTGGTGTGGTTACCCTTTTTTTTTTTTGGCTGCTGGAAAGGCCAAGGATCACATAGACACGAAGCAGCTGAGTCAGTTTTCTGGTCCCCCAGACTCCTGGTGCTCGGGGAGCCGCTCCGTGTGCCCTGCCAGGCAGACCCAGGCTGTCTCCATGTCACCTTGCACTCTGGCTGTTTGGCACTAAGCCTGTCACAGCTGTACGGTGGGACCAGGGTCTGTTGCTGGGGCCTTCTGCTGTGTGGGAATGAACCCTCCCAAGGAAGGGCCTTTGGGGGCGGTGGGAGAAGGCACTCTGCCTGCGGGTGAGTGCAAGAAGCTTGTTCATCCGTGCTACGTTGGCTTCCTTCGTCAGCTTTGTAAAAACCCTCTGAGGTATCTGGGCTTTACTGAGGATAGCGATTTCATCATAGTCTTTTTTTCATTCTTCCCCCATCTTTGGCTCTATCTCCTCATCTAGTGTCTAATCCATAGGCACTGGTGGTTTAGGTACCAGTGCTTAGCTATCTCCTTACCTGGTGTCTCAACTGATGGCTTGTAAATCCTTGGCTGTGCTGGAGATGGAGTTGTGGATACTCGGCCCTCATGCCTTGCTCAGCCACAGCAAACTCTACATTGATCTGTTCGCTCCTTCCCGTAGCTCGAGTGGCTGAAGGAAGCCCTGTGGCTCTTCCCCCGTGTAGGCAACCCTGGTCTCTGCCTCCTGCCGAGGAGGTTGGGCTGTGGGGCGGGATGTGTGCTGGGTACCCTCCAGGCTCCTCTGTGTTCACGTCCCACTTGAGCTTTATGCCAAGCAAGATGTTCTCACAGAACTAAAGAAAATAATCTCAGAAATATTTCTAGTAGCATCTATTGTTTCTTCTTTTTAAAAATCCTCTGTGTACTCAGCCAAACTGTTACCTCACTCCCCACTATGATTTTAGCAAATGAGCTTATTTTGCTTTTAAGGCAAACACTCTTGCTTTTATTTTTAAATTATTTCAATTTACCTGTCCGTTCTGCCCCCGTGTGCTCCCCAACCCTGCTCTGCGTGTACCTAGCCCCACACTGTCCCCCTGGGAAGAGCTTACAGAAATACTGGGTATTGCCCTGACAGAAATAAATCACACTTTCCCTTCGGACAAGGTGGCAAAGTCACTGTCCTTTGGAGCTGACAGAGTTAAAAATCAAACAAACATTTGGGGACATGTAGGGAATGGTGCCTGGGGCTTGCGGAGTGTTGCTTGGAAGGCTGAGAACCAGCATCTCCGACTCGTGGGCAGCCAGGGGAGATGGCCTGAAAGCTAAACCACGGCTGAGGTTTCACAGCAGCTGTTGTTGAACTACGTGGATGCCCCAGCTCGGGTGGGAAGGACTCTTCTGCCTTATCTGGGGAGTCACACACATGCCAGGAGACCTTTGTTCGGAACATTTGGAGGAATAAAGTTCAGCAAAAAAATAAAAGGGCATTTCCCTGCCGCCTTGGCTTATGTCATGTCGTGCTCTCTCTTGCAGCTGCGTAAATGAGTATGGAAGATTATGATTTCCTCTTCAAAATTGTTTTAATCGGCAACGCCGGTGTGGGGAAGACCTGCTTGGTCCGTCGCTTCACTCAGGTAAGGTCGGCCACCTCTTGGACGGGGAACATCGGGGTGGGGGAAGCGCTGGGATGGGGAACGGAGCTGTGCACTGCCGGCTCCACTGGCATTGCAGCTCGGAGCGCACGCGTCGCCTAGAGCAATGCACTAGCACCAGCAGGACGTCTGTGTCTAGTGCTGTGCTTAGCCCTGTTGGGGATCTTGTGTTGGAGAGGACTCTTCCGTCTCCGAAGATGGAAAACCTTCTTGAGAGCCATTGGGAAAAATCCTCCTGATTTAAAGGTGCTCTGGACCAGTTATAAGGACCAGTACATCTTCTGCTCCGCTCCCATGTGCCTTCTCTTCCCCATCCCTCCTGCTGCTGTGCAAAGCTCTCCCTGTTATTTGTAATTAGTAGTTAATCAAATAATCAGGACCCTGGGCTGTCAATCCAGTGTCTCCTGCTAAACATCAGACCCTTTTTGTGGCAGAATAACAGGGAAAGGACCAGGTTTCTGTCCTCTGGAGCAAGAGGAGGTTTTGTATGATGCTCTATAAAACATAAATTGTGGGTTTTTTGTTGCACTCCCCACTAGGAATTATCAGCGATTTTCCCCCTCACTGGTAATTTTAGTGTTAAAGCTGTGGATGTTTAACAGTCTCCAACCACATGTGACCTCAGAGGGTTAACCGCAAAAATTTGGGGCCACTTCTGCTACTTGGGCTTTGGCAGCGCAGCTGCTGTGGGGAGTGGATATGCCCCAAAATCAACATGACTTTGTAGACCTAGACACCAGAAACCAAGAAGCTTGGGGTTTTTTTGGTGGGTTGTTTTTTTTTTTTGTTTGCTCCTTTCTGATGGTGCTGCGTTCAAATACCACCAGTGTCACGCTGGCCCTTGCCACTGCTGTGACACTGGTGGTGTCTGGCTCTGCGCTTCACTCCCAAAACGCTGTGCGGGGATGTGATCCCTGTGCTGGGAGCTGCCAGAAATGCCTTCCCATGCTGTGGGGGGTGGTGGAAGGGAGAGGGAAGGTGTGAGATTGTAGGAGCAAAGGCATCTCGCCCCACACGGGTGCTCACACCTCTTTCAAGGCATTGGGAAATATCCTCCTAACTGGGAAGGGTCCTCATCTGCTTTTTCCCTGCCTCTTCCCAACTGCACAGAAGCAGAAGGCTTTATCTTTCTTTTCCCCTGTATGCACCCTCCTTTTCTTCTGTTTTCCTACCTCTGAAGTCAGTGACTTGCTCCATGACTAGGGACATGTAGGCAGGGAAAACACTGTGGGATTGAATTCTGGTAACCTTTGTGTTGGTGAAATGTCACATTTTCCCCTCTAAATGTGACGGAAATGAGTGTTGGGGAAGGGGACAAGGGAGGAATAGTTTTGAGGATGGAAGGGTGATCATTGGCACTCAGAGTTTTGTCCTGCTACAGAAATGAGCCTAATGAAACTCTTGTTTTTGTGCAGGGGCTTTTCCCGCCGGGTCAAGGAGCCACAATTGGGGTTGACTTTATGATTAAAACTGTGGAGATAAACGGTGAAAAAGTGAAGGTAGGAGCCTGATGGTTTTAAGTGTAAACTCGTGTGACAATAACATAGCTGAGGCTTCTTGCTGCAGCCCTCCTGCTGCTGGAAGGCACGGGGGGCGGCGCAGGGATGTCTGGCACCGCTCAGGCCGTGCTGGCTCTGAGCAGTCTTTGCGTCCCTCTCCGTAGCTGCCGTCAGGATTGTGAGAGTGAACCTCCTCTAAGGGAGAAAGGAGAAGGGAAGATCTTGCAAAACTCTGTCCTTGCTTAGGAGACACTGAGATCGTGCCTGGCTGGGGTTGAGGGAGCACAAAGTGCTTTAGTGCAGCCTCTGATCGTGGCACTGCTGGTAAGCAGGAATCTGTTGTATTCCCACGGGGATGTGCTTGATGAAGGTGGTCTCCCATGAGCTCTCAAGGCAGCTGTTGGAGAGCAGGCTTCTGGACTTGGGTGGTTCTGCATGGCAAAGGCTCATCTTCCACTTCTGACAGTGTATGGATTCTGGAGAAGTGGAGATGGTCACAATACTGGTGCTTCAGTCAACAGCTTGAGTGAGAAGGGCAGTGTCCTCCATAGTAACTCTTTCACCCTCCAGAATAAGGTGTTTACAACCAAACTGCTGCTGGGAAAGTGTCCCTGTCCTGTGCTAACTCCCAAACGGAGCCTGAGTGTCACTTGGCAGAGAGCTACTTTTGCATGGACCAAAGACACCAGGGAACAATCTTGTGTTTAATGGAATCCATGGTTGAAAGGCTGAGAGAGTTGGGCTTGTTCAGCCTGGAGAAGAGAAGGCGCCGGGGAGACCTTATAGCAGCCTTCCAGTGCCTGAAGGGGCTACAAGGAAGCTGGGGGGGCCTTTTTACAAGGGCCTGAAGTGACAAGGGGTAATGGGGTTAAATTGAAAGTGGGGAGGTTTAGATTAGATATCAGGAAGAAATTCTTCACAGAGAGGGTGGTGAGGCACTGGAACAGGTTGCCCAGAAAAGCTGTGGATGCCCCATCCCTGGAAGGGTCCAAGGCCAGGCTGGATGAGGCTTTGAGCAACCTGGTCTAGTGGAAGGTGTCCCTGCCCATGGCAGGGGGGTTGGAACTGGATGGTCTTTAAGGTCCCTTCCAACCCAACCATTCTGTGATTCTGTGGTTGGATTCATCCATGGTTTGATCTATCCAGTGCCCATGGGTGTTAGCTAGTGCTGCTTTGCTCATTAGCAGAGATTTCTCTAGAGCTACTGTGGTGTCCAAGAGGTGGGAGAAGAGTATGGTTATCTGAGACTACTGTAGCGATGTCTAGGGTCCCTGACCTGCTCCTGGAATTACTCTGCCTGCAATAAATTCACAGGCATCAAAGTGGAAAATTTCTTTTCTCCTTTGCTGCCATCATCAGATCTAGTAGTGAGCAAACGGGAGAGCAGCAGTGGTGTGACATCGACACCCATTTGTAAGCTTGTGAGAGTGATAGGATGAAAACAGTGGACTCGTGCAGATTTTCAGCTCTGAGTTGTCACCTGTATTTCAGTGCAGAGTGTTTTTGAGAAGAAAATCAGTTGGTGTGTTCCTAAGTTCAGGACAGATTTTAAAAGCCACAGGCGTGTCAGCAGGCTGCCACCCCACTGCATGAGGACCTGCACTAAGCTGTGGCAAGTGATGGTTCTTGACCAGAAGACCTTCCAGCCTAAGCAGGTGAAGGAAAAAGGGTGTAAATACCCTGTAAATACCCTGATAAAGACAGAGATAATGTTCAGCACATTGGTGTGCAAGTGGGACAGAGCAGCAGGCAGGGAAGCAGTGAGGATCACGTGTAGTCCCTGGTGTGGTGCTTAGCTCAGTCGTTCTGATGCTCATTAGCAGGCATCTGACATAACAGGGTTGGCCAGGACATGGATGCAGCTTGTCCAGGCTCCTCGGACAGCAGAGATGCTTCCTTTGTCCAAAACCAGCTCCAATGGAGCAGTTCAGAGGACTTAAGCTGGTAAATGGCTTAAGTACTGCACTGAAGGTGGAATTGATTGCTTTTTTCTTTATATACCTGGCTTAAACCAGTTATCTCAAGCTTGTCCTGGTCAGCGGAGGGTGAAAAGCAATCCCTGAGGAAGATTAATGCCATCCATGTCACACACCTTTCCCAGCATCTCATTCCCTGTCAAGTACTGATGGAGCCTTAAGAACATGGTTTTTGGAGGTTTTTGCGCAGGTGAACTCACCCTCAGGATTTGTCTGCGTTTGACTTACTGCTCCCATGACATAATCCTGTATTAAGACTAGCTTGGACTGAGGATGCAAACTCCTGAAGAGAAAGTCGGAAGCAGTAGTGCCAACATAGGCTGTCTCGGGGCCAGGGATGGTTCTGGGAAGCTCCACAAGCTGCATGCAAACTCGTCAGCACAGTAGGCCTCTGCCCCCTGTAAACATCTGAGTGCACAAGTGCCCACCCAGGCAACTCCCTTCATCACCTCGGGGCTGGCAAATGAGTTGTTAAACCAAAGTCCTTCTCCTGACCCCACCAGTGGAGTCAATTCGAGTCACCAGAGCTCGGCTGCCGTGACCAAGCTTGGGAAGACACTTAATACGTCACGTTTGGGCACTTGTATGAACCTGCCGGGACCTGAAAGGCAAACGGATTTCTCTCTGGGAGTGATCTTGTAAGCGAAAGTTTTTGAGTAAGCAGTGCTAGTGAGAATAAACATTTAGTAAGCAGGAAAAGCAGGAAGGAGTCAGAGCACAGAGCGATGAAAAGGCTGTCTCAGTCAAATGAGGTGCTTCTGTGACTGTGAGCTCATTTAGCAGTGCCCGAGCCGTGACTCTGCTTCTGCTCTGGGCATCATCTCCTGTGAGTCTGCTGGGATCCAGGATGAGAGAGCAGAGCTGTTTACCAAGAAGGTTTTCAGACGTGAAAATAAATGATAGATTTCTGGGGAAAAAGACTTTCCAGCTTTCAAAATTGCATTTGAAAGTCAGTGGAGAGGGACTTGGCTGGCACACAGCTTTCATGCTACCGTATGAGAGGTGAGTAGCGACTAAAGCTCGCTGACAGATGAGCTGAGACAGCGCTGTGCAGCTGAGGGGGCTTTTGATCTGCCTGGCCTTTCCTAATAAACCCAGAAATGGCTTTAAATTGAAAGTGGGGAGGTTTAGATTAGACATCAGGAAGAAGTTCTTCACGGAGAGGGTGGTGAGGGCACTGGCACAGGTTGTCTGGAGAAGCTGTGGATGCCCCATCCCTGGAAGTGTCCAAGGCCAGGCTGGATGAGGCTTTGAGCAATCTGGTCTAGTGGAAGGTGTCCCTGCCCATGGCAGGGGGGTTGGAACTCGATGATCTTTAAGGTCCCTTCCAACCCAAACCGTTCTGTGATTCTATGAAATATGTACAGCACCTGTAGTAAGAGGCTACACAAATTCAAGCCAAGTAGGTAGCAGTTATCATGCTGGTCACAGCGAAACATCCTCAGTGCTGCAGATAGAGGGCTGTGCTCTATGGACCTGTGACCTTACTGCATTTGGTGGAAATGTTTATATGCATAAAGCCAGTATGTGCAAGTGTTGGGAGAGTGGGAAGCATCAGCTGGCTCCAAGAAAACAGACATCTAGGTTTTCTGCAGGCTGAGTCAGGCACTGTCCTTTGGTTCCTCTGGAAAAAAATGGTACAAGTGAACTGGTTGCTGTGAAGTATTTCATTTGGCAGGATCAGTGGGCTGAAGTGTGCAGTTTGGATTTTGTGTGCAGGAAGGATTTATCAGTGACTGTAAGGTCAGGGGCTCTTCCCTGCCTTCTTCTGCATCCAGCTCCCAGGTAGACTCGGGACTGTAGCCAGTAAGAAAATGCTGAGCAACAACAAAACTGTCCATATTTTTCCATCTGCCAGAGTTTGGAGGCTGCTCTGTTTTAACAGGGACTCATTTGTTACCTGAATTTCATGTGCAAGTAATTTGACTTTGGGCTTTGTGCGTCACGTAACTGCAGGTGCCAGGTTCAGCCATTTAAACCCAACTACGCCAAGGGATTAAGCACAAAGGTGCCCAGGAGCTGTGAGCCAGCCACAAATTACGTTCTCTGCAAAAATGTACTCTTTCAAAATCATACTGCCCCTCTGAAAGCTGCTACTGGGAGCTCTCATTTCAAACTGAGACGTTTATGATGGCTACCTGGTGTAGTTCGACTTTGGAACTGGGCAAGGAAAATGTTTTCTCTGTTACAGGCTGTTGAATATATGGAAAAAATCTCGAATACTTTACCTTTTGCTTCCCAAAGTACCCAGGTTTCTGGCTGGAAATCAACCTTTCGCCTATTTAATCCCAGGGAGGGGTGTTTAAAAAAAAAAAAAAAAAAGCTGAAGCAGAGTATTCTTATGCTGAAATAGTTTAATTTTTGATGTTTGTTTCTTTGACTGCCTTTTTGAAGAACTGAGGTTTTGATGAGCCACCAAAAACTATCAGATGGGCCAATTATAAAACCAGCACGAGTTCAGTTTGTATGGGGAAATGTATGTTGTCTTCCTGGGCCCGGAAGGTTTGGCAAACGCTCCCGACCCCTCTGATGTAGTTAAGGACGTGTTGGGAAGGCAGGCAGTGAGCAACGGGGCAAGATGGCTGAAGTGGCAGAGAGGAAGCACGAGTCCTTGGACCAGCCTTCGGCTGAGCTCCTTGTTCACTCCTCTGGCTTCCAGCCATCAGTGCATCCTCTCAGGGTGACTATAGCCGTGGGAGCTGGAGAAGGGGCTTTTGCATTTCTTTGTGGGATGGATGCTGCTGCTGGTTGGACTTCAGAGGCAGGATGAGTGACCTTCTCCCTCCAGCGCCTGTGTTGTAATTCCAGGCCAGCAGCTTTGTCTACAGGAGAGGCAGATGCTGGAAGTCATCAGACCTGCAGCTTCCAGGGGCTGGCTGTAGTGCCAGCTGACTTTTGTGCCTTGCATTTCAATCCACAAGTGCAGGAATGGAAACAAAAACTGCTGGGGGAAGGGAAGCCAAAGGGGCGAAGAGCGAAGTGCTTTCCCAGCACTGGGTTTACCCTGAAGGGTGTTTTTTAGGTCAAACCAGCACTGCTATCAAAGCTAAATAACTTTTTTTCCTTCCTTTTACCACCCTTCCTTGTTATGCCAAAAGCTGCAGATCTGGGACACGGCAGGGCAAGAGCGATTCCGGTCCATCACGCAAAGTTACTACCGCAGTGCCAACGCGTTAATCTTGACCTACGACATCACCTGTGAGGAATCCTTCCGGTGTCTCCCCGAGTGGCTGCGAGAAATCGAGCAGTATGCCAGCAATAAGGTCATAACCGTGCTAGTGGGTAAGCGACGATCATCCCCAGTGGGGTGGGGGGCAGCAAGCTGTGCGTGTTGGGGGTGAGGGAGGTGGAGGTGTTAGCGGGACGAGAATGTGGTGTCTGTGTGAACTGGTGGTGTGGGATGCTCAAGCTGGTGCAGCAGATCTTATTGCCAACCAGTTGTAACCGTAGGTGGGTACAGCCAGTGCCTTAAACCCAGTGCTTGGACCCGTATGGTTCGACATCTTTGTCAGTGACATG